TGCAACGCGATAAAGAATTGGACAACTCTCCAGCAGTGAGCGAAGAGGCAGAACGACTGCCCCCTAACACCTAAACAAAGTAACTCCACTGTTGATAGCTCTGAAGCTCCTCAACTAGTTATATTCCAAGGTCCAGGCGCAGAAACGTGAAACCAAAACGCGTTCTTCGACGAGACACAAAACGTTTCGAGCGGAGTGATTCTGGCAAACTTTACTCCGGTGCTCTCAATGTGTGAACTCGACGACGAATGCGTCAACGAAGTAGAGTAATCTCAGAAGCTAAGCATAGAGAAGAAATGGACGAAGAAGGTGAGCAAAACGACTCTACTGAAGAACTCGTACCAAAACTCAGGACGCGCTCAGTGATAACATGGCGGATGTGAATTGCACGTGTAACATCTGTGATGCAACCATGAGACCCAGGCTCAGCGGGAGTGCCACGCCCTCGATAACCCCGTCGTAGAATTCACCTGCGCCGACTGCCAGCTCAGCCAGCTCACGTTCCTATGCCAGGAGAAGTTGCAGAACCATCTGTGCGAGGCCAGCGCCCAGTTCGGGGTCGTTCTTCTGCGCCGACTGCCCGAAGACGTTCGCGAACAGCGGCTGCTCGATGCGCCACACGACTTGCCACGATGCGTCGCGCCGTACTACTGCGAGACGGCACCCGGCAGATAGATGCGATATGATATGACTACTAGGCACTTAGGATATGACTACTAGGCACCCAAAAACGTAACCCTAACCCTAACCCAAAAAAAAATTTTTAATTAAATTTGCAACACCTGCGAGACGTGCCACGCGTGTTTCGCGGACGAGACCCGCGATGACGGACCACCTCCTGCCGCCGTGAAGACGGCGAGCGCTTTCCGCCTGCGAGATCTGCGGCGATCGCTTCGTGAACAGCTCTACCTGCTGCGCCATCTGCGCGCGACGCCACGAGCGCGAGGTTCGCGTGCGTCACCTGCGAGCAGACGTTCGTTCTCGAGAAGCGGTTGACGGCGCCCACGCGGTCGTCTGCGAGGGCCTGCGCTCGATCGCGCAGAACGCGGGCCGCGCAGTACCGCGCCTGCCTGCCCAGATCTTCATAGAGCGGACGGCGTTCGAGCTGCACGCGTCCTCGCACACGCACCGCCCACCCGGCTGCGTCCTTGCGCGCGCACACGCGACGGCAGTACTCGCCACTCGAACGGCGTGCGCTCGTGCAGGCGCGCGTGACGCTCCAGCTTCGCGGCGTCGTCGTCGAACACGCCGCTGCCGCTGGCACGCGTGCAGCAACTGGCTGAAAGACTACGCGAATCGGCGGCAGCAACGCGCGCACTCGTGCGGGTGCGGTGTGCGAGGACGGCAGCCGGCTGAAAGAGGTGATAGGATATGTTTACTAGGCACTTCTAATTTTAACATATATTTTACGATATATTAAAGAATTGATGCAAAATCCCTAAAAAGTGCCTTAATCCTAACCCTAACCCTACCCTGACCCTAATTAAATTTAAAATATATGTTAAAATTAGAAGTGCCTAGTAAACATATCCTACCACCCCTTTCAGCCGGCTGCCGCACGGACCTGCTGCTGCGTACGCGTGTGCGGCGTCGGGCACGGCGGCGCGGTGTACCGCATCCACGGCTGCGCAGCCGGCTGAAAGGGGTGGTAGGATATGTTTACTAGGCACTTCTAATTTTAACATATATTTTAAATTTAATTAGGGTCAGGGTTAGGGTTAGGGTTAGGGTTAGGCACTTTTTAGGTTTTTGCATCATTCTTTAATATATCGTAAAATATATTAAAATTAGAAGTGCCTAGTAAACCTATCCTACCACCCCATTCAGCCGGCTGCCACGGCTGCGAGTACCTCGTCGAGCCACGTGTCTGCGAGACGTGCGGCGTCTCATTTACTCAGCTCGGCATCCACGCGAAGACGCCATGTGAGTCATCATTCACACGACCGTCAAGCGAAATTCCTACGCATAGCGTGCGTAACTCACAGCGGACGCCCGATTCGCGAGTACGAGTGGGAACGTAACGGTCAGAGTCTTCGAATTGCACGCGAGCCGGTGTCGAGGAACAAGTACTGGACCAAGGTAAATATGTGTTGTATTACTTCTCATAATAGTTATTATACGAGTTTTTCTGGTTAGCCTTATGTGTTATCATATTGTTTTCAGTTCATGAATTATGGCTAGAAGTAAATTGCCTCCGGACAGGCTGCATTACAGTTGCGCATATGTATAAGCACTGTACTGCAGTACGCGCGCGCGCGCGTGTGTGTGTTGGTGTGCGTGCGTGCGTGCGTGCGCGCCGTGCGCGCGCGCGGCGCGTGTGTGCATTGGCTACAAAAAGTTATGACAATGCAGTCGATCTGGGCAGACCGGGCTGAGATGTATCGAGTGTGTGTGCGTGCGTGCGTGTGTGTATGTGAGTGACGAGTCACTACCAGCCGATTCGAGTGCGCCTACATGATTATGTATTCATACTGGCTGGCGTGCCTCTCTTTTGGAACAGACTGGAGTTTGCCTCGCATGGGAAACTTCTGAACTCTCATGCTCCAGCTGAAGAGAAGCTGACTGCTGAACTAGAAAGCAGTGGAGTGGACGTATGTATAGTGTACAAATGAGTGAAGCAGTTGAAGATAATGAAATAACCTATACTGCCTATAGCTATACTAAACTGTACTTTTAGTTCTATATTTCACAGTCGCCAGAATATTTATGCAGAAATCTTTATCACTATATGATTAACAGATGATATTACATATATAGAGATATATAGAGAGAGATAATATTATGTATGATATACATGCGTACGTACATTTGGTACGTTTTGTTTCTGTGAAACAGTATAGTTGCATCACATGGGATACCAAGCCATCTCCATCACCGAACCACAGCTGATGAGGAGATGTGGGGAGTGGAGAGAGAGACACACACGCACACAGAGAGATACACATAGAGAAAGAGTAGGGGAGGCATGATACAGAGTAGAGAATAAAATCAAAAGCCCAAGAAGTTTATGTATATATACACACACAGAGAGAGATTGATACAATAGATGTGTTTGTGTTAATCTATCTGTCTATCTATCTATCTATCTATTATAAATAATGATGTTTACCCTAGAATGCTTATTCAGGAATTATCACTATATGTATAGTAACGAGAGCTAATAATACCTTATTATAGCTCAGCTCCTAGTTATATAGGTATTATTAGCTCTTGATCGTAATTATGCTTTTATTAATTTCTGAAATTATTATATAGGAAGGTTCGTGATTTCATATGTATATGTGTATAGTAGTATATAATAATAATGTTTATCTGGAATGTTTGTATTCAGAAATTAACACTGTGTATTGTAGTTATGTGTGCATATATACGCAGATTAGGATAGTCGAATATTTCATTATAAATTTTACAACTTTGATGTTTTGATGTTGATATTGAGGATAATATATATATGTATAGTTGTAAATCATGTCGCGTTTTTATGAAATTGTATTTTGAAACTGGATTAAACATATTTTACTTTTCGGAACTGTGGCTTGATTGCATGCTGTATGTGCAGCAGGTTGTATATGTCGTAAAATCAATTCCACTACGTGTATATATATATGCTCAGCTCGCGCGAAACACTGATTTTGTTAGTATGTTTGATTTCCATTAATATATATATATATATATATATATATATACAGTATATTATATTATTTATTTAATTATTATATATACAGTATAATATATGCACGCCACACACGCGCACATACACAAATTACGTTTCAGATAGAAATCCACATTATAATCACGTTATTGTGAATACATTAACTAACGTTATTTCAACGTTATGTTAACGTTATTTCGCTTATATTAACGTTACATAAAAACGTTTTTACAATCGTTTAGAAAACGTTATAAAACCCTACACATTCACGTTATATGAACGTTACAAAAACGTTATAACAACTTTTGCATAACGTTATAAAAACGTTATAATAACGTTTTTGTGTTAGCTGGAAAGGTAATGTACAAGCTGTTTAACTCCGATTTAACCAAATTAGGTTTGTCACTACTGAATTAATGTTACATCTACAGCACGTACAGTCAGCATGGGTGATCGAGCTGGATACAGTATGGCGTCCACGAACAACGTGACAAAGAAAAACTGGGACCCCCCCCCATTGTGCCAACTCTCTCTATATATACAGCTCTACTGGTACATACGAATAAACAGAATATCGTAGAACTAATCGTATCGTACGGGTGTGTACGAATATCCACAGCGATCTATATAACTACCACGAGACACCACCTATACCACCATTCACGACATGACAGTGGACATACTCTGGCGTAAGCACTGAATATTTGTCCCGTGAAATTCATAGATTCCATCATGCATTTATCATTTTTATATTACAATTATTAATTGTTGTGCTTGTGGTTGTAGCACAAAAAGGGAATATATGTGGAAAAATATTCCGTACTGGACATACTCCTTAAAATATTGTGACCGTATATTATGTCCTTGAAAAAATGAAGTCACTGTGAATGTGTAATTAAAAGACTGCGGATGTGGGCTATGGAAAACATAACATAAATACTGTTTTTTATAATTATGCTCAAATAATTATTGGAGATTTATCTTGTGGTGTTTACCTTCGTATTCGAAGTTTTTAGCATACTCATACAGCGGTGTGCAACCGTTTTGCCTGCGTTGCTTTATCCAGGCCAGCAAATGAGTTCCTGTCAGACTTCAGTAATAAAAGTACGTCCTCTACGAGGCCTTTTTTGTATATGAGCTGGTATTTTAGCTGAAGTGGAAGTCGCCATATTTGAGCATATATGCGAAGTGCGCATGCGCATACGCATCCTATATCATTTATTTCGCAGGTCAGAAATTTCGCACACAAAGACGAGCTGTGATTGCTCTGTCGGGACGCATGCGCATACGCATCCTATATCATGTATTCGCAAGTCCGAAATTTCGCGCTACACCGTGACTCAAAGAACCAGGGTATTCCATTGCCAAACAACGAATGGCAAAAGTCAAACGTACTATAGCTACACGATGCACTTGTGTTCCTTGAGGTGAGTCATACTAGAGCATCTATAATCACACGTATCACATGCAAAAGGTTTCTCTCCCGTGTGAGAGCGCATGTGTGTCTTAAGACTGGATAGTTGAGCGCACCTGTAGTCACATGTGTCACATGCATAAGGCTTTTCGCATGTGTGAATGCGCATGTGTTCCTTGAGGTCAGCCATTCGAGAGCAGCTATAGTTACACGTATCACACGCATAGGGGTTCTCTCCTGTGTGAGTTCGCTTGTGTGTCTTAAGATTGGATAGTTGATTGCACCTGTAGTCACATGTGTCACACTTGTAGGGTTTTTCTCCTGTGTGAATGCGCTTGTGTAACTTGAGTTGAGTCATACTAGAGCATCTATAATCACACGTATCACATGCAAAAGGTTTCTCTCCCGTGTGAGAGCGCATGTGCTATGTGTGTCTTAAGACTGGATAGTGAGCGCACCTGTAGTCACATGTGTCACATGCATAAGGCTTTTCGCCTGTGTGAATGCGCTTGTGTTCCTTGAGGTGAGTCATACTAGAGCATCTATAATCACACGTATCACATGCAAAGGGTTTCTCTCCCGTGTGAGAGCGCATGTGTGTCTTAAGACTGGATAGTTGAGCGCACCTGTAGTCACACCATGTGTCACACGCATAGGGTTTCTCTCCTGTGTGAGTTCGCTTGTGTGTCTTAAGATTGGATAGTTGAGTGCACATGTAGTAACATGTGTCACACGCATAGGGTTTCTCTCCTGTGTGAGTTCGCTTGTGTGTCTTAAGATTGGATAGTTGAGTGCACATGTAGTAACATGTGTCACACTTGTAGGGTTTCTCTCCTGTGTGAGTTCGCTTGTGTGTCTTAAGATTGGATAGTTGAGTGCACATGTAGTAACATGTGTCACACTTGTAGGGTTTCTCTCCTGTGTGAGTTCGCTTGTGTGTCTTAAGATTGGATAGTTGAGTGCACATGTAGTAACATGTGTCACACTTGTAGGGTTTCTCTCCTGTGTGAGTTCGCTTGTGTGCCTGGAGAGCAGAGGATGACGTACATTTGTACTCGCATTTGTCACATGCATAGGGCTTTTCACCCGAATGAGTTCGAAAGTGCACCTTCAGACGGCTCAAGTGAGAACATGAATATGAACACATATCACACACATACGGTTTCTCGCCTGCATGGGTGCGTTTGTGTCGCTTGAGGCAAGACATTTGAGAGCAGCTATAATCACACGTATCACACGCATAGGGCTTCTCTCCTGTGTGAGTTCGCTTGTGTGTCTTAAGATTTGCTGGTTGATTGCACCTGTAGTCACACATATCACATGCATAGGGTTTCTCTCCTGTATGAATGCGTTTGTGTCGCTTGAGAGAACGCATCCGAGAACATCTATAATCACACGTATCACATGCATAGCGTTTCTCTCCTGTATGAATGCCCTTGTGTTGCTTAAGAGATTTGGATGACGTACATTTGTACTCGCATTTGTCACATGCATATGGCTTTTCACCTGAGTGAGTTCGAAAGTGCACCTTCAAACCTCTCAAGTGAGAATATGAATATGAACAAATGTCACACAAGTAGGGTTTCTCTCCTGTATGAATGCGTTTGTGTCGCTTGAGTTTAGCCACTTCAGAGCATCTGTAGTCACACGTATCACATGCATATGGCTTCTCTCCTGTGTGAGTTCGAAAGTGCACTTTCATACAACTTAATTTAGAACATGAATATAAACAAATATCACACACATGAGGTTTCTCTCCTGTGTGAGTTCGCATGTGTGCCTTAAGACTGGTTAGTTGGCGGCACCTGTAACTGCATATGTCACACATGTAGGGTTTCTCTCCATGTGTGCGCATGTGACTCTTGAGATTATCAGAGGTAGTGCTGGCATGTGAGCAAACATCACACGCATATGGTTTCTCTCCTGTGTGAATAAGCGCGTGGGTCCGCAGATGCTCCTCTAGTGCGAATCTGTGTCCACACGTATCACACGCGTATGGTTTCTCTCCTCCTGCAGGCGGCACATCTAAGTGGGAAGACTCCATCACATGGGTGCGAATCTAAGCAGTTTCTTCACCTGTGCAGGTTCTCCCGTCTGTCGTTCGACTTCCTGCGGGGAAAAAAGATCAACGTTAATCACCAACTTCCTTCAGCTTTAGACATTCTTACTGTGAACACGGTTGTCTATATCAATCCGATGGAGATTTGCAATGATTTTGACCATCTCCTCCGAATTTTAGTTCATTAATCCACATGAGCACACCGACATCAACTGCACATCTATGCAAGCTGACGTTTCCTACAAGTATTATGGTGATAATCCTCATATCTCAGTCGTTGGGCACCGTGACACCTATGTCTTATTGAAGCCCCACTGGTACTGATGTGGATTTGGGGAAATATGGATATGCTATAAAATAACGCATTTTCATGGGTTCTAGGTGCTACAGAACGTTTATTTTAATGAGAAATCTTTTTATAAGCAGGATGTTAATATTTTTGCTCATATGGAAAAAAAGTAACTGTTATGTGACCTATACGTTTTTTGAAAGTTGGTAACTCCATACTTATAAGGAGAACTAATAGGAGACTGGCGAGAGTGGGAGAAAATCATACAAAATTCACACAACAGCAATGGCTACCTTGTTAGAATTTCACTCTTATCGAATCTCAAACATGCTTGGTGGCACGTAGATACATACTTGACAATAGCGCACATGTTTAACAATCAATGGCGTGGAAGTACAGAGAAGTGCTAAAAGCCATCAGAAGTTAGGTATTCGTACCTTCGTTACAATGCTTTGTTAGCTACAATGTTTGCTTGCTACATTCACTTGTGACCTTCTCGCCACGTGATGATCCTATCCTCTTCGATATCTACACTACATTGAATCTACGCCTACAAGTGTATGTAATATTCAAAAAGTAGTTTATGTCGTACAAAAAAAAATTGCACGTTAGAATTAG